TAGCCGTTTAGTGAGTTAATTATGTTGGGTCGAGTCATGCTCTGGTCATGTAACACTGGGATCGCTTGGTTTATGTTGTAGTGATGTACTATGTTTTCATATTATTGAGATATTGTGATGTTGGCCTCAGTGCCTAAGTGATGTTGATTTATGTGATAAACACAAATAGTTCTTTTATGAAAAATTGTGATACAAATGAATCCGCTGCTACATGCAAATGAAATTTTGTAAAGTATGATTATTTATTTCAGTGTTAATAAGCATGACAGTTGGTTTTTAGTAATTTGGAAGTGTATGTGTGACGCCCTTTGTGAATGCATGTTAATTTTACTCTGATTATGCTTATATTTTCCGTGGGGTTTAGAAGGGTGTTACAACAAGCAATGACTGGTTAATTTTGACTATAGAAAGAGGACAAATATCAGATGTGTTGATGATAAGTATTTGAATGCTGAAAGATTGGGAAATGTCAAGGTCAGAGTGAAGAATGGAAAAGCTGTTCTGATCAAAGATGTTTAGTATGTTCATGGTATGAAGAGCAATTTGATGAGTCTATGTCACCTAATTGAGAAAGATTTATTAGTTACTATGAAGGACAACCTCTTGAAATTGTATAATTCTGATCAGAAGCTGATTATACAGTTTGAGCAGAGAAGTAACAAAATATTCAAGGTGTATGTGGAAACATCAAACACTAAATGCCTTAGTGCTGAAGGTGACAATGAGCTATGACACAAGAGATTGGGGCATCTGAACTTCAGAAGCCTAAGGTATTTGAGTTCTAAGAAGCTTTTTCATGAAATTTCTAAGATTGTGAAGCTTGAGAAGTCATATGAGATATGCATGAAAAGCAAGTAACCAAGATTGCCATTTGCAGTAGAAGTAGCCCTAAGAGCAAAACATGTTTTAAGAGTAATGCACTCCGATGTATGTAGACCATTTGAAGTACCTTCACTTGGTGGAGACAAGTATTTTGTGTCTTTTGTGGATAATTTCACAATGGTGACATGGATATCACTCATCAAGTTTAAGCATGAGGTGTTTGTTGAATTTTAAAAATTCACTGAAAAATATAGTGGTCAGAAGCTGAAAATTCTCAGAACTGATTACAACTCTACAGAGTTAAGAAGGTTATGTGAGGAGAATGGAATTGAGCATGAGGTTACTGCTCTATACACTCTTCAACATAATGGTCTTGCTGAAAGAAGAAATAAAACTTTGCTTGATATGACAAAGAGCATGCTAAAGGAGAAGAAGCTCCCTCACACCTTGTGGGGAGAAGTTGTTTCCACTACAACATATGTGCTCAACAGGCGTCCAACCAAGAAGCCGAAGAAAATTGTTCCTTTAGAAAAGTGGACTAGAGATAAGCAAAGTGTGAGCCATCTGAAATTTTTTGGTTTTGTTTGTTACAAACATGTTCCAAATGTTAAGAGAAAGAAGTTGGATGAAAAAATGGGAGTTATGTTGCTTGTAGGGTACCACAATACAGGTGCTTATAAGCTCTATTGTCTTGTCACTTACAAAGTTGAATTCAACAAAGATATCATTATGAAAAAATCAGAAGCTTGGGATCAGAACAAGTCTCAATCCAATTGTGGTGCAGTGTTAACACCTGAGTTAACTTCGAAAGACATTTCAAATTCTGAAGGAGAATCTGCCTCTAAAGGGGATTATACTTCTAAAGATGAGTCAAAGTCTGAAGGTGACTCTAATGTTGAAGAAAAGTTTGACTCTGAGGGTGAATCTGATTCTGATCCAAATTCTGATGATAATCAAGACTCTGGTGGTAATCATGCCTCTGAAGGTGGTCATGCATAGTCCAACATATGATATTATTCCAACATCTAAAAAGGATTCTGAACAAGTTCAGAGACCATAAAGAATTATACAAATACTAAGAAGATTTGCAGAGTTTAACATGTTGCGAGAAACTGAGATGGACTTTGAAGGGGAAGTCATTCAGTGTGTCGTGTTGGTAGACTCTGAACCAGTCAGTACTAAATAAGCTCTCATGAAGAAAGTGTGGTTGAAGGCCATGAAAAAATGACTTAAGGTTATAGAAAGAAACAAGACTTTAAGTTGATTTAGCATCCACGAAACAAGAAATCCATCAGTGTGAGATGAACTTACAAGGTGAAACTAAAGTCAGATGGATCAACTAGAAAACTTAAAGCAAGGTTAGCAGCTAGAAGATAGCTAGACATGAAACAGTCAGATTGGTGATTGCTATAGCCGCTAGTAGAAATTGGTCTCTGATGCATTTAGATGTGAAATATGAATTTCTGAATGATCCTTTATAAGAGGAATTTTATGTGCCACAACCTCTTGGATTTGTGAAAAAGAATCAGGAAGGGATGATGTACAAGTTGCATAAAGTCTTGTAAGGACTGAAACAAACTCCTAGAGCTTGGAATCTGAAAACTGATTCATTTTTCAAGCTTCAAGGATTGAGAAAATGTGAGATGAAGTGTGGTGTTTATGTTCGGCATACACCTGATAATAATATGATTTTGGTGTGTCTTTATGTTGATGGCATATTGCTAACTGGAAGTTGTTCAAAATACATAGCTAAGTTAAAAAAGGTGTTGATGAATGAATTTGTGTTGATCTAGGAAATATGATATATTTTCTAGGAATGGAGATTTTGTATTCTAATTAGGGTATAATCTTGCACCAGCTAAAGTATGAATTTGAGCTTCTGAAGAGATTTTAGCTAATGAATTACAAGTATGCAATCACACATGCTGAAACAAACCATAAGCTTGATTTTGATGTTGAGGGTGATGATGTGGATGCTACAACTTTTAAACAGTTGGTAGGCTCATTGAGATATCTTTGTAATACCGGACTTGGCATTTACTATGGAGTTGAAATGGTGAGTAGGTTTATGAACAAACCAAAATGGTTATATTACCAAGCTGTTGTCAGGATATTGAGGTATATTAAAAGGACTCTGAGGTATGGAGTTTTGTTCCTATCTGAGGCTAAATCTGGTTCAGAGTTGATGTGTTATTCAAATTGTGATTGGTGTGGAGACATAGTTGACAGAAGAAGTACTTTTGGATATTTCTTTAAGTATCTGAAAGGTCCTATTTCTTGGTGCTCCAAGATGCAACAAGTTGTTGCATTGTCAACCTGTGAAGCTGAGTATATTGCAGTTCCTTTGTCGGCTTGTAAAGCTGTGTGGATTCTGAACTTGCTGCAGGAACTAAAGATTAAGGTGAACAAGTGTGTGAAGTTGATGACTGACAACAAATTAGCTATAAGCCTTGCTAATAATCCAATGTTGCATGAAAGAAACAAATACATTGACACGAAGTTCCACTTTTTGAGAAACCAGATTCATAATTGAATACTTAAAGTTGTTCACTGTAGCACTCAGAAGCAACTGACTGATGTGCTGACTAAGACTATCAAAATTGAACATTTTATCCATTTGAGAGATGAAATTGGTGTTGTTGATTTTGATTTTAGCTGAATATGAATTAAGAAATGATGTTAGATTGCAATTCATTCCAGCATTTCATTTAAGTTGCATTTATAATTTAATTTGGCTTGCATTTAGGAACTAATAATATATAAGTTATGTTTAAGTTGTGAAATAGAGCGAGTAACAGAATTTCAAATTTCAATTTCAGTTAGAAAAGTTAGTTACAGAATCTCTCCTGGAGCATTTTTTCGTTCCCTCCAAATTGAGGGTTTTCGGAGGGGAGGGGAAGGAGAGGAGTTATGATAACATGTATTTTTATTATATTGACAAAATTATCCTCACTTTTATTTAATAAAATTTTTAATTGTCTTTATTAATATTATACCTTAATTTTTGTCACCTTATTATAATTCCTTCATTTGTTTAATGACAATTTCATTATTTTTATTATTATTATTCAACTTTTTTTCCATGTGTTTTATTCTATTCATTTTTCTTTAATATTTTGCTTGTAATAACTTAATTATTTTATAATTTATTGTATTATATTACATATCAATATATACTTGTAGTATGAGTTATATATTATGTAGAATTTAATCTTATAAATATGTTATAGGATTAAATGGATCATCAAGATGAGAAAATGGTTCATATGATCATTGATTATATAATTTGATTTTATGACGTTTATCAATATTTTATTTTTATTTTAAGATATTTTAGAGTATTTTAAATGTTAAATATTTTGTGTTTAATTATCTATGTTTTTTATGAATTAACAATTTTTTTTGGTGAATACTTTTTTTAAAAAATTTATTTAATGATTGTTATAATATTTTAAGGGTAAAAAGGTAAGTTAGTTTTAAAACCTCTCTCTTTCTTCTGTGAACCAAACATATACTTGAATAAAACTTCTCCCTCCCCCTCTTATGAACCAAACATACGTTTAATTAAAATACATTCTCTCACCTCACCTCCTCTCCTTCCCCTCCCCTTTATTAAAATCCCCTCCCTCCACTCTTTTCCGTTAAACCAAACGGACCCTAATATATCCGTCCCGTTTTTTATAAAACGAAACAATTTTAGACTTGAACCATCAAATATGATAGCCTATATTCCGCTATTTTATTTATTTATTTTATTTTATAAACTTTTACAAGATGAGTCCAAATAAAATAGAAATACCCGTTTATCACCCCTACCTCTTCGCATGGTAGATCATTTTGGTTGGAACTAGATAAACAATACTATATGTGTTATTGTTCTTTAGGTATATTATAATTTTGCTTGAGATTGTTTAGTTTTAATTACTACTTATTCTTTACTCTTCTATATATCAAGTTATATACAATAACCGGAGGCTTAAAGGATTTGTTTTCTCTATTTATCCACGGCGGTGTTTCCTTCGTGAGATGGTACCGTTAGAATCTGAACAACTTTCAAATTTAAAGGCGTCGTCATTCACATTCACTCTCACTGTCTCCACCATCGCGCTAGGGTTTACAGAATGCACCAATTGTTCCATTGATCTCTCAAATCGGGAATTCCCAATTCAACTCCAACAATGGCTACATCAAAAACAATTTCAGAAGCATTGAATCTCATAGACACGAAGAAAGAGAATCTCAAAAAAGCCTTCGAAAATCTTCAACCCCACTGTTCCTTCCTTCATACGCTTCCTCTTTCATGGCTCGAACTCGATTCCCATTTCACCTCTCTCCAACACTCCCTCACTAACCGCTTCCATATCCTCCAATCACTCGAACAATCACATTCTCAATCCCATTCAAAAACCCTAACTTCATACACTAACAACCGAACATCCAAGTATTCTAACTTTCCGTCCAACGCTTACGGCATTTCATCGAATCAGAACAAATTGAACATTCTGTGTGAGAAGATGGATGGTATAGGGTTGATGAATTACGTTACTTATAATTTCAAGGATAAAGTTAGGGTTCAGGAGGAACTGCTCGAAGCGCTTCGGTATGCTCCGGACGCAGCGGTGTTGGTTTTGCAAATGCTGGAAGGGTTTCATGGGTTGAATGGTAATTGTAATGATTGGAGATTGAGGAAGATGGGGATGGTTTGTGTTTTGTTGTTGAGGCTTCTAAGTTTTGCTGGTGTGAATGTGAGCTTTAAGGCTAGGGAGAAAGCGGTGAAGGTGGCTCTTGATTGGAAAGTGAATTTGATGGGTGATTGTGGAAATATTTTGAAGGCGTTGGGGTTTATCTATTTGGTTTACGCGTTTGGTATTGTTTCTGAATTCAGCACGAATGAGCTTGTTGAAATTTCTGCTGTGGCTGCAATTAATTTAGAATTCATGCAGCTTTGTCGTGATGTTGGTTTGACGGATAGGGTTCCTGGTAAGGCTGTTGAATTTTTCTAAAGAGTTGGTGTTTTTTGATTGTTAGAATAACACTTGTGTGTGCGCGCGCATTTGTGTTAGAATAGGAACTAGGATGGAGTGTGTGTTTTAGAGTAGGAATTAGGATATAGTGTGTGATAGGGGGCTGGGACCTCCTATTAGGAAGGTTTACAACAGCAGGAGGGGAAACTGGGGATAATGACCCTGTGTAACTAACTGATTCCAATGTAACTAACTAGTAAAAACGCCAATTTATAGCAGAGTTATCAATCTCAGATAGCTGAGCGGAGCGGCCGATTCTAAAAATGGGATAGCGTGGGATAACCACTATTTGACTAGTTTTTAGACTAATCATGTGAATGTTCTATAAAAGATATATCTAATGTAAAACCAAACAAACAAAAGGAAGAAGAGGAATAGAGTTATTAAATGACAATTATTTTTAAAAAAAGATATAGAACAATATGAATAGAGAGAAAAGAACGAAGAAGAAAGAAGAGAAAAGAAAGAAAGAAGAAGAAAAGAAGACTTAAAGAAAACAAATTAACAAAGAAAAGAAATAAGAAAGAAGAGAAAAGAAAGAAAGAAGAAGAAAAGAAGACTTAAAAAAAACAAATTAACAAAGAAAAGAAATAAGAAAGAAGAGAAAAGAAAGAAAGAAGAAGAGAAGAAAGAAGAGAAAAGAAATAAGAAAAGAAGAACAGAAAATTAAAAACCAACGTGAGAATAGGGGATTGCAGGCAGCGACACTAAGAAACGAAGTAGACGGAGGCGGCGGCGCTGAGAACGGACGCGACACTGGGAAGAAAATCGTGAGAAGAAAACTCTGAAAACTGAAGTGAAGAAACTCTTCCAACGTTTATTTATTTTAAGGGTAAATTTGGGTTTTTGCGTTCAAAACAGTTCAAACCCGCTCGGACCAGGAAGCGCTCCGCTCTCGCTACCTGCTAAACATCAAATAGTGGCTGCTATCTCAAATTGAGACGCGAACCGCTCCTCCATAGTGGAGGGTAACCGCTCCGGGCCGCTATCCTGGGATAGCGCCGCTATTGTCCGCTATCGATAACTCTCACTGATGGAAAATTATGAGTCATAGATGTTAGGTGTATGTTGCGTTAGGTTTTCTATATCAAGGAGACATAAGGTTAGTAGAAGGTATCAATTAAGATCATTCTTGTGGAGGATCTAGGTCTCTCAAACAGTGTTATCGGTGGCGGATGGCGATCCATGGTAGAGAGCCAAAATCCCGCCATACAGGCTGCTTTGTGTCGCCATCATAGCGGATTATGGCGGAAAAACAAGCAATATTGGCCAATATTTACCATTGAGGCTAGCCCAAAATTCCCCCTTGTTATCCGCCATAGTATGGTGGATATTCGATAACACTGCTCTTAAATACCTAACATTTTGTTAAATGCATTTACAGTATAGATTCAATAGAAATTCAATAAAGACTCATATTTTCTATTCTCATACTTGAGATCAACCCAGAACCTATCGGTGTGTTTGGAAAGATATTGACAATAGGCTGCACAAATGTTCATTTGGCTCTCCTCAACCAACATCAGAATCAAACACACCTGTAGTTTAATTGAAAGTCCTTTATTTTTCCATTTCGTAGTGATTATCTCAGTGTTATCAAATTGCCCTGCCATGGCGGATTTACATGGCGGTTTTTGGGCTCGCCCGCAATGGTAAATATCGGCCGCTATTGTGGGTTTTTCCGCCATAATCCACAATAACGGCGCCGCAAAGCGGCCGGTATGGTGGGATTTTGCCTCTCCGCCATGGACCGCCATCTGCCATCGGCAACACTGGATTATCTTAATATTAAGTTGCAAGAGTGGGGTGTCATAATGATGGATTCTCATTGGATGCATATATATAGTTGGTTTACACTGATGGTGCATCCTCTTGTAACTCTAGTTTAATTGAGAAGAATGATTCTTTGACACGAGTTTCAAGCATGTACCTCTTTATAGGGTATTAAATTATTACCATTGATATTGATAAATACAAGAAAGAAAGACAAAGGAAAAGAAGTGAGTAGTAGTTGAAGTTATATCGAATGTTTTTTATGTGCAACTAACATGACTTAGTTTGAAATGGGATTCTTATTTTTCTTGTTTCTATGTTTTCTAGGATTTGGGAAAAATAAACTCCTTCACATGTAGTGATAGAACTCCAAAGTTATATGTCAATGAAACTGTATCTTTTATTGAATGGAAATTGAGTTAGATGCTCTTTACACCAGAGCAGTAAACAGAAATAAACCAGAGCAGTAAACAGAAATAAACCAGAGCTTATACCTCCTACTTGAGAGAGACTCTCCTAATTGACAACTAGAAAATACCTTAATGCCTCTGTTTTCCAGACTCACTGATATTCACAAATTCACAATATATTCTCATCCTCTAACAAACTATCCTAGAATCTAGCTCCACGTCACTGACTACCTTCTAGTCTCTCCCCCATGGCCTCACTTTCTTCTAGGATACTTCGGTGTCATATCATGTGGTCACTAGAATATTTTGTAACAAAGATGGTGTGTAGTAATACTTAGCTCCTCCTCACCATTACACGGATGGTAGCATCTTCCAAGTTTTAAAATGAACAGAAAGATCATTCTTTTAGCAAATTGATGGATAAGAAAGTAGTTTTATGTTGACAAAATTAAAATACTTTATCAGCCCTTTGATTGCTCATTCTCAATTCCCCCCTCCTAAGTTTCTCCGGCTATTTGATCTAGGGTTATGAATTGCCCAAGACACATTCTCCCACAAATTCAGATTTTGCTGTCTTTAGTAATGTTGAAGTGTGTAACTGTATATGACTAAAAACATATCATAGCTTAGTAGCTACTAGCTTATTAGACATGTTTTTTATACCGACACCTACAGTACTTGTGAAAGAATTATTTTCAATTGGCTTGGGCATGCACAAAACACTTATCCAATACTTCAATAAGGCACAATACTTGGAGAAATAACTCGTGTAAGTAAATTTCCTTTTGTTTTCAGTTATCTACCATATGAATCACCCTAGAAATTGAGTATATTAAAAAAAGTTGAGATCTAAACTGATAAGAAAGATATCCTGTAAACATCATTTTAGAATGTCACTATGTTCTCTATTTATCCTTGTTCTTGCACGCAAGTTTTCACCATATGAGCATGCATGGATAGTCAAGATTATCATTTTTCAATTAACTACTATAATTTTTTTTATAAACAAACAATATCTTGGTTTCTTATATTGTAAACATTACCCGCATGGGCTTCTCTCTGTTGTATCTGTTATATTTTTTACCCATTCTTTGTAGCTACTAGATCTTTTAATCATTTATTGCATTTCCTTTTCAATGAATTGGCTGTGAAAGAAACCATTGCTTAGTAAATTGTATTAATGTTGAGGCAGTCATCATGGTTTTGTCGATGAATTAAGCCCTATTATTATTATTCTATTGGACTATTGGATTAGGAATAGCAAAGAAGTTCAGCCACCTATACAACCTTTTCAACTCCTTTATTAGTTACTGTTAAGAGTCCCACATCGGACAATATATGGCATGAACATGTGTTTATAAGTGGGGGCAATCCTCACTCTACCAACCAGTTTTGTAGGGTTGAGTTAGGCCCAACCACACTTCTCAACATGGTATCAAGAGCCTCGTTTAAGATCCGGTGGGCCACCTTCTATGGTTTTCCCTATCGGGCCACCCACCATTTATTTCCACGCTTCAGTTGTCCAGTCCTGAACATGTGTTTATAAGTGGGGGCAATCCTCACTCTACCAACCGGTTTTGTAGGGTTGAGTTAGGCCCAACCACACTTCTCAACAGTTACCAATTAGAACACTTGGCTGACTATTGAAATCGGAATCTTCCACTTCAATTGACCGTTTTAATGTTAAGCAAGGTTCGGTAAGATTGACTACGGGAAGTTTTCCCTACTTCGCTCCCTGCTACTGAAAACTGTTCTATAATTAAATGTATAAAGAACCAAGAGAGAGTGCAAAGCCAAGAGTAATTAAAGTGTATACAAATTAACATAGTATACCAAATTAAACCATATGTAATTTTTATTTTTGAAATTGAGGGGTTTTTATCCAGTTGGAAAACATAGAGGTGGCTAACCAGCTTATAAAAATACTAACGCAAATATGAAGAGTTACTAGACTACTATGCAATTAATAAGTAAAAATAACTAATTTGAGTTAATTTCTGATAATGTGACAGTTTTGTTTGTCTTCAATGGTGTATATTGCCCTATTTCTAATTTTACCCTCGTAACTAATTTTATTGGTAACACAATGTTTTTTTGTGGTTTGCAGAGATTGTTCAGAAACTTGTTGATAGGGGCAAATATGTTCTGGCTGTCAAGTATGTTTTTGAGTTTAATCTTGCTGATAAGATTCCACCAATTCCTATTTTGAAAGCATGCGTGGATGCATCTGAGAAACTTGCTACAAGACTTTCCCTGGAAGGAAGGCCACGGGTAAGTGTCACCTTGATTTATAACATAATGCATGGTTCCACATCCTATTATTCATTGAGGTATTTTTGCAGATAGAAGTTACTGATAGAGAAATGCGTGTACTGAAAACGGTAATTGAGATTATTGAGAATTATAAGCTTGAATCTGAATATCCACTAGCTAGCCTTGAGCAGCGTATAGAGCAGTTGAAGGGGAAGGGTGCAAATATGAAAGACCAATCACCGGCTTCTATTCTAACTAGACATACACTACAACGACGACAACGAAAGAGAAGGATGAAGAAGCAGCAGCAAAATGGGATCAAGCTTCCTCGAACATCCACTTCAGTTGGTCCAGAAGCTGTCCTCATGAATGTCAGTAATAATAATTCAACAATATGCCAGTACGAACAACCTCTTCTCAAGTCCTCAGGTTTGTTTCCAAACCATCCAAATCCATACGCAAGCTCACCAGCCACTCCGCTTGGCATGGTTGCCCCTACCCCAACCATGCCTTCTTACACTGGTCCTTCAGCTGGTCCCAGCGAAAACCCCAACCTAGGTGGTTCTCATCTAAACTCATCAGAGCCACATGTGCCATCTGCTTATTATGATGGTACTTACTAACTTTACTGGTATTCTAGCTTTTCCTTGACTTTGCATCTTGATTGTTCGGTTTTAAAGTGTAGTTGCTACTTTGCTCCATTAACCATGGTTTAGGACAGAAATTAGATTCCGTAATTGAGAATTGTGAAGGAATGCTTAGTTTCACAATTTTAATCACTTGAATTGTTTTGTATACATAAAATTACTTTTAGAGGTTGATAATAGTCTTTCCTCTTCCTTCGCCCTCACCCTCGCCCCCAAATCACTACCTTTGTTGTTTTTGCCAAGCAATGGAACATCGTTCGATGGACTGACTACATTGCTTATCAACATTTTTTCTTCTTCAGAAGAATATAACTTGAAGTCTTTTTTCAAGGTTTCCCTTAATGGACCTATTTTAAATGTTCTTTAGTTTGTTCCATTTCATAAAATAAAAAAAATAAAAAAATATGTTGCCTAATTAATTGGCTTATGCAACTCTCATTTTCTATCCAAGTATGGTTAAAGTTATAACTGACATAGGAAGTTTTTCATTATCATTCTCAGTCCAAAAACTTAAAGGAAGTCCATGTACAAACTCAGTGGAAATGTGATGTCATCTGTGGACAAATTGTTTGCATTAATTTATTTTAGTAGCTTTTACATATTAAGCTAAATCTCTTTTTTAATGTCAAATGCTTTAACCCAACATTGTGCTTGTGCATTCCTGAAAATTTGAAAACTAATATCAGGCTTTGAGCAGCTGTGTTGATTGTTATCCTAATGGGATGTCAAAATGCCGTTCCTTTTATTATATTTCTTTTTATGCCTTTTATATTTGATTTTTGTCATCAGTCATATTATGTTAGAACCCTCTTACTAACAGGAATGATATGCAGTGCAGTTTCTTATCTCTGGTTTCTCTGTTTCAACCATTTTTTATTGTCAAGTTTAAAATTAAAAGTCAATCTGTTGGAAGTAATTTTTGGTTTTGACATGGTCCCTTCACAGAAAAATAGTGTTTTTGAATATATCACCAAATATAATTGCATTTGCTTTCTAGTATTATTGAATTTATTCATACACTTTTTGATGATGAACTGATTTTAGATGTTATCATATGAAGCTTTTGTCAATAACAGTTGAGGTCTCATTTTTATGTTGAAAGCAGACCAACTTGTGACATGTTTTGGGTTCCCATCAATCACATTGATTAACCATGCGGTCAATCCTTTTATTTTTAGTCCAGGGGAAGTGGCATGAAAACGTCAAGACATAAACTCTTGACCTCTCTCTGATTCTGGCTGCGTCTTGTGTCATTTAAGCAGCTGAAGCCAGGAAAAAAAAGAGGAACATCAATGATAGAAAATAGAGAAAATTTCCCTATCAAGGGTGAAAATAGCAATAACTTAAAGAAAATCATTATTTATTTAGCACTTAAATTTTATTTGAATGTTTCTATTTCTGTGTACTTCAAGTTGATTGTGTTAGTCCTATGATGAAGCTCTGATCATTTATGAAGCTTCTATATTCGTTTTTATGAGCTGCAAGTAACAAGTTGCTATGTAACTTTCTCTAGTTTTTATTTTAGTTTAGTGTGATTGAAAATAGTAATATAAATTTTAAGTCAAGGTATTAGAGAAATTAGAAACTATTCTACCTAAGAAGTGATATTCTACCTATGAAAGGATGTGTCTGTATTACATGTTGCTGTTGTACATATTGAAATTTATTGTAGTTGTGCCTCTCTAACCTTTTTATAACCCTGATTTTGATGGTTTCTGTAATGTAACATGTAAGAGATTTTGTTATATATGTGTGTGGAAATGTTTACTGAGTTGATTGCATGTTGAGACGTATACTCAGCGTGTTCCTATAAAATGGGTCGTGAAAGACTGGCCAGCTTTCTTGGTTTTTGCTAGTGACTGCTGAGAATTTTATTAGAAGAATAAAATAGACAATTCATCTTAAAATGCAGAAGAAAACAGGAAGTACTTTTTACTACCCTGTAATAATTAGGAGTTAATTGTTTTATATTTTAAAGTTGCTGTTATTTTCTTGTTTGATGTAGATAAATTATGTAATTCGTACTTCACAGTATTACAAGTTTCTTTTACCAAAAATTAAAAGAAGTGGGGTTGTGCCTTTTCGGAAATTATTAATCAATAAGTATTGAAAATAACAGTTGTACTATTGACTTGTTGTACTATGAGGCCGATTGTTTGTTTTGATTTTTTATAAAAATGATTTTTATAGCTTAAGATATGACCCGTTTATTTTAGTTTTCTAGAAAAATGAGTTTTAGAGTGTAATATAAAAAAAATTACAAAGATACTTTTTATAAAAATTTCAAAAAAAGAAAATTTGATTTGAATAATTATTTTTAAAATATTATTTTTGATTTTTTTGTTATTTTATTGAATTTATTTAATATTAAAATTTTAAAAAATTACTTAATTTTGAAGTTATTTTAAATAATTTTTTATAAAATTTATTTTTAAGATATAATTTTTTTTAAAAAATTATGATTTCGACTATATTTTGATATTTCAATGATATATATTTATATTATATATATAATATAATTGTAGAGATTTATCTCTTGTTATAATTTGAATAAAATTGATAAATTGAAATTTAACTTATTTTTAAAAATAAAAATTTATATTACAACTTGATACAAATACTCTTTAAAAAAGAGGATTTAATTTGACACCCTTCACTTGAATTTAGTACCTTCCATTTTATATAAATAGATAATACTATTATTGCAACTGTCTTTCACTCATTTAAATTCACCTTTTACATGTGCGAATTTGAATTTTCTAAAGTGATATTGGGAATTTCGTCTATTGAAAATTTCAAAATCAATATGTTTTTTTATTGTAAATTATTAAATTTGCATGATTTTATATCAAAAATTTTAAAATTTTCGATAATATTAAAAACATTTTAATCGGAATTTTCCAAAATTTCCAGTAAAATATCACTTGGAAATTCAAATAGTTATAAAAACTTTATTTTGTAAATTTAGTGAAATTTCTGGTAGTTATTAATCTTTTTTATTTTTTTCGTTTTTCGCAATGAAATACAGGAACAAAGACGACATTATTGCAGGAAGAGCGACAAATAGAGTGGCATACCAGACTAGGGTTGCTGAGGCTAAGTCTTTCCAGATACGGGTTTGACGGGTGGTTCAAACCGGTTCACACCGAAAACAGTTGGTTGAGCAAAGTTCTGCACTCTCCGTAGCACCCGACGTCGAGCGATTAGATCAGTTGAGCAACCCAAAGATGAGGAGACCGATGAAGTGGTCCAGCCAGATGCTGATGTTGCAAATGAAGTGCTTGTTGATGAGGTTGCAGATGAGGTGGTCTAACCAAATGTCATTGTTGTTGATCCGGTCCCATCTGCTACTGTTGACACAGAGGTTACAACTCCTTTGACCGAGCCGTCTATGCACACTGATGGAGGATTTTCTAGAGGACTCATTGACCGGTCAATGCTTATTGAGTATGCTGACAATGTGGCGTACTGACTATGACAGGCAGAGGCATATATATCTTTTATGTTTAACTTTAATTTATTTATTATTGTGCCATGAAAGCTAATTGCTAATATTTTTTTAAAATTTGTTTGTTATATGACTGTATCCCACTAAATGTGACATCAAACAAGTCGAAACTAAAGGACTTCCTAAAGACTCTGATGCTTGAGGAGGAGACGTTTTCATTTCATCTTTGGTTTGAGGAGAGACTATCACTATGGATTATGTCTCCTCATTGTTCCATCGCCTCATCGGTTGAAGATTCTAGACGACTCCTGTTATTAGCCTGTCACTTGCATGTTTAATTGCTACATGATATTTTGGAGCTTCTAAGGAGGACGTGTTGAAGGAGTTTGCCTTCAACAGGGGTGCTCACCTTCATATGTCTTGACTTCGAGAAAGGTACGATGAGCTTGTTATGGCTTAGAGTTATGAGGTTGCCGCTAGGGTGTACATGCTTAGGGCTGGAAATGAGTCGAGTCGAGTCGAACTCACCTCAGCTCGGCTCGACTCGTTAAGAATTGTTCGAATTCGAGTTCGAGTTCGAGTTCGACACGAACTTTTTTTTAAGCTCAAACTCGACTCGTTATAAGTTCACGAACAGTTCGATTCGACTCGTTAGGTTCATCTCATTAGGTTCAGCTCACATGGTTCACGAACTTAAAAACTATTTTTTTAAATATATATATTTTTTAGTATATTTGACATTTTAAATAAATATATATTTTTTAAATAAAATATTAAAATAAAATAAAAGTTATCATATTGATATTTAACTTTATCTTCGAAATCTACTAATTCAAAACCTACACAACTTTCAAGAGATACATTTGAGAGTCTAACTCAAAAACTACTAAATTGAAGATTAAATTTGTCTAATATTTGAAGTAAATATTTAAACCTAATCTTAAAGACAGTATAATTCTTTTCATATGTAGTCGAGTTGACTCATGAACCTAACGAGTCGAACTATGTATAGTTCAAGTTCAGCTCATTTAGTTAACGAACTTAATTTTTCGCTCATACTCAACTCATTTGGTTCATGAACCTAGTTCAACGATTTAATTGTCGAGTCGAATTCCGAACTATCTTCGAGTTGGTTTGGTTCATTGCCAGCCCTATACATGCTACATCTAGTAACATGTACTCTCTTTGCGGAAAAGTCAGATGTTTATATCGACTCTAGGTAAGTGTGACTGTTCAATAGCCTTGAAATTACCAATTAGGCTTGCGGGTGTGTTTCGTTGATCATCTTGTATACAACACTTAGAGTGGCGACAATATTTGAGACCATACAACTTGCTGGTTAGTTGAGTATGTTACAAGTAGGGATGGAAATAGGCTGGATCGAGTTAGGCTTTGCCAAGCCTGAGCCTGGCCTGTTAAAATTTTTAAATCCTAAGTCTGGCCTGTAGCCTATCATAGGCTTATTTTTAGGCCTAAGCCTGGCCTTTTCGAATACCTGGTTGGTCTACTAGCCTATTTAAAAGCCTAC